TCCTGTGAGTGGACACACTGCCATAGTGACAGTATTGGGCAGCGCCACTCATCCTGTGAGTGGACACACCGCCATAGTGACAGTATTGGGCAGCGCCACTCATCCTGTGAGTGGACACACCGCCATAGTGACAGTATTGGGCAGCGTCACTCATCCTGTGAGTGGACACACCGCCATAGTGACAGTATTGGGCAGCGCCACTCATCCTGTAAGTGGACACACCGCCATAGTGACAGTATTGGGCAGCGCCACTCATCCTGTGAGTGGACACAGCGCCATAGTGAGAGTATTGGGCAGCGCCACTCATCCTGTGAGTGGACACACCGCCATAGTGACAGTATTGGGCAGCGCCACTCATCCTGTGAGTGGACACACCGCCATAGTGACAGTATTGGGCAGCGCCACTCATCCTGTGAGTGGACACACTGCCATAGTGACAGTATTGGGCAGCGCCACTCATCCTGTGAGTGGACACACCGCCATAGTGACAGTATTGGGCAGCGCCACTCATCCTGTGAGTGGACACACCGCCATAGTGACAGTATTGGGCAGCGCCACTCATCCTGTGAGTGGACACACCGCCATAGTGACAGTATTGGGCAGCGCCACTCATCCTGTGAGTGGACACACCGCCATAGTGACAGTATTGGGCAGCGCCACTCATCCTGTTAATGGACACACCGCCATAGTGACAGTATTGGGCAGCGCCATTCATCCTGTGAGTGGACACACCACCATAGTGACAGTATTGGGCAGCGCCACTCATCCTGTGAGTGGACACACCGCCATAGTGACAGTATTGGGCAGCGCCACTCATCCTGTGAGTGGACACACCGCCATAGTGACAGTATTGGGCAGCGCCACTCATCCTGTGAGTGGACACACCGCCATAGTGACAGTATTGGGCAGCGCCACTCATCTTGTGAGTGGACACACCGCCTGTTACGAACCCGGATCCAGCGTCCGAGCCTGGAGCAGTGACAACCACGCCATCTGTGGGTCAGCTCCCGAAACCCCCGCCAAGCGGACGACGACACCTGGTGAGGACAGCGTGTACTGGCCTCGAGGACCAGTTTCCAGTCTGGTTCAGCGCTCAACACCGCCACTCCTGACCTCTGGTGAGGTGGTGCTCCGACGACAGCGCCATCTATGGACTGGATACGTCAGGTGTTTGTGCCCGAGCCCGTAAGTGAGGTGTATTAGTGTCCCGGTTATTGATGACGTGTCTGCTTACAGAGCCGACCTGGGACCACTGTGATGGAAGTGGAGTCAGTCTACCCGAGGCAGCCAGTCTCCATACCTTGAAGTTTGCTGCAGCTGTTGTGAAGTCGCCCCCCCCGGAAGAACACTGTGGTGTGTTAGCCTGCCAGTGGAGTGGCAGTGAAAGGATTTACCCGGGACCGACTGTTGGAGACGATCATCCACTGGGGTACTGAAGACAGGAGAGTGACTTGTGTTGTCACACGAGGCTCCTGTCTAGGGCGTTCCCCTTTTATCGTTCGTGGAGTGGCCGTACCAGCCTTGTTGGCTCAGAACCTGCCAGCAGACCAGCTGGACGTGTGGTTGACGGCCTCCACGGCGGTGCCCCCAGTGGACCTGTGTTTTGGCTGACCTGTGGCCCGGGTAGGCTCGGCATTCTCAGAGGACACGTCGTGAGGCCACGAAGAAAGCACCGCGGACTCAGCACCTAGCTTCTGGATCCAGAGTCTTCAGCAGAAGACTAATTTGTGGATTAATCCCCTTGTAAAGTGTTAATACCCCTCCCCCTTGTGCACTCTTTTATTTTATATATTTAATCGGTGATGGTGTTAATTATAATATTAAGTTCTTAGCTTTCTTTCCCTACTCCCTTTAAGTTACTTGCGTCACGGATCTCATCCCTTGATAGCCACTACTGGCTTGGGAACGGATATATATCTCTGACTCTAACAACATCAGAGTGAGAACCCCGTTGCGTCCCGAGAGGGCCGTAACATATTGGTCAACGCTACTCATCCTGCCAGTAGTGGACAGTATTGGGCAGCGCCACTCATCCTGTGAGTAGACACACCGCCATAGTGACAGTATTGGGCAGCGCCACTCATCCTGTGAGTAGACACACCACCATAGTGACAGTATTGGGCAGCGCCACTCATCCTGTGAGTAGACACACAGCCATAGTGACAGTATTGGGCAGCGCCACTCATCTTGTGAGTGGACACACCGCCATAGTGACAATATTGGGCAGCGCCAATCATCCTGTGAGTGGACACACCGCTATATTGACAGTATTGGGCAGCGTTACTCATCCTGTGAGTGAACTCTGTAATAGTGACAGTATTGGGCAGTGCCACTCATCCTGTGAGTGGAAACACTGCCATAGTGACAGTACTGGGCAGCGCCACTCTTCCCGTGAGTGAACATATCGCTATAGTGACTTTATTGGGCAGCGCCACTCATCTTGTGAGTGAACATACCGCTATAGTGACAGTATTGGGCAGCGTCACTTATCCCCTGAGTGGACACCGCCATAGTGACAGTATTGGGCAGCGTCACCCATCCTGTGAGTGAACACTCTGCCATAGTGACAGTATTCGGCAGCGGCACTCATCCTGTGCGTGGACACTCCACCATAGTGACATTATTAGGCATCGCCACTCATCCTGTGAATGAACACACCGCCATAGTAACAGTATCTGGCACCGCCACTCATTCTTTGAGCGAACACACCGCCATAGTGACAGTATTGGGCACCGCCACTCATCCTGTGAGCGAACACACCACCATAGAGACAGCATTGGGCAACGCCACTCATCCTGTGAGTGGACTCACCGCCGTAGTGAGAGTCTAGGGCAGCGTCACCCATCCTTTGAGTGGACACACCGCCATAGTGACAGTATTGGGCAGCGCCAGACATACTGCCTGTGAGCACACCACGATAGTGACAGTATTGGGCAACGCCACTCATCCTGTGAGTGAACCTCTGCTATAGTGACAGTATTGGGCCGCACTCATCCTGTGAGTGAACACATCGCCATAGTGACTGTATTGGGCACCGCCACTCATCCTGTGAGTGAAACTCTGCCATAGTGACATTATTGGGCTGCACTCATCCTTTGAGTGGACACACGGCCATAGTGACAGTATTGGGCAGCGCTACTCATCCTTAGAGTGAACACACTGCAATAGTGAGAGTCTTGGGCGGCGTAACTCATCCTTTGAGTGGACACACCGCCATAGTGACAGTTTTGGGCAGCGCCACTTATCCTGCGAGTGACCCCCCCCCCCCGTAGTGAGAGTATTGACAGCGCCACTCATACTGTGAGTGAGCACACCGCCATAGTGACAGTATTGGGCAGCGCCACTCATCCTGGGAGTGAACATAACGTCAAAATGACATAATTTGTCAGCGCCACTCATCCGGAGAGTGAACAATCTCGCCATAGTGAGAATATTGGGCTGTGCCACTCATTCTGTGCGTGAACACACTGCCTAAGTAACAGTTTTGTGCAGTTCCATCCATCGTGTGAGGGAATGTACCGCAATAGTAACAGTACTGGGCTGTGCCACTCATCCTGTGAGTGAACACACCTTTATAGTGACAATATTGGGCAGCGCCACTCATCGTGTGAGTGGACACTCCACCTTGACAGTATTAAGCAGCTCTGCTTGTAAATCTGCAAGTCCAAATGTCCTCTGTTCTGGCCTCGTAGGCCTCCCAGTCTATTGCCTTAATATTCGTTTGCCTTGTTCGGGTAGAAGGTAGACACAGTAGTCGCTTCTGTATATATTTATTGACCGAGACAGCAAGGTATATATCTGCCTAGCCGAGGTCCTTCTACTCTGAGTCTGTGAGGAGAACTGAGGCTGCTGGGAGCATGGCTTGATGCTCCTCTGTCTGGCATGACGTCAGAGGCCTACTTACCTGTGATTGGTTACATTTCAACTGACAGAATTTGAGTATAACATTAAAGTTGAAGTCCCTCCGTACCAGCAATCGTGATTTATCTTTGTCAGCTCTTACTATAATCTCTCATGACCATTATGAGGCTCTCTAGTTTGTCATCCAGTTCCTCCTGTGTCCATGTGTTGCTTATTGGTGCCTTGTAGGCATTTATTATAATCAGTTTATCATCCTGATTCCAGACCTGCAATGTCGTTAAGTCAACTTCTCGAGGGTTGCCAAGTATTAACTCTCTTACCTTGAGGTGTTCTTTCACCAGCACAGCCACTCCTCCTCCCTTCTTTGTTTTTCTGTCACGTCTCTAGACTGAGGAGTTCCATGGGAATACCTCATCATATTAAATATTTTCTTCAAGTTTCATTTCTGTTAATGCGACAATATCTGGGACCTAAAGCTGAATTATATCACTTAACTCCGGTACATATTATTTCACTCCATGTACATTGGTAAATACAATTTTCATGAACATGTTTCCTCTCCCTTTGTTCTTTACTCCCCCTTCCATTATTGATTTTGTTGCTTTGTTTTTATATACACTAGTTTCCAGTCTGTAACACTTTATAGAAAAAACAATTAACTTAATTTCTATTCTCATTTAGACGTTTTGCTTCATTATGTTTATATTCAGCTTTTATGTCTTCCTTTAAGAGGTGTTGTCTTATTGACCAAAGTTTGCCATCCTCCTCACTCTGCCATTTTCTGGCATTTCTAAGCACTTCCGTCATTTGTTTCATTCCATTAAATATCACCCTTAAGGGGCGGTTCTTGTCTTTCTCATATTTTCCTATCCTCCTAAAATCACTGACATTTTCCTTTTAATTGAGGCCTTCTCCTAAAATTAATATTTTCACTATGATTTTTATCTCTTCTGCTGCTGTCCACCCGCATGATATTCCCTTTTTTAATCACCCAGAAATTATTATGGAGTTACTTCTGTCTGAAGTGCTTTGTCTGAAGTGCTTTGTACTAGTTTACTGTTGGTAACGAGTTCTTTCCTAATTGCTTGTCTAACCTCTGCTTCTTGTTGGTCATTTCTGGTTTTGGCTTCCAAACTCACTTCGTTGATCGTCTCTTTCTCTATTACAACTTGTGCATAAATCTCTTTTATTTCCTCTTTATACTTCTCTAGTTCTTTATTAAGCTCCTCTACGTGTGTTGTCAGTGAAGTTTGTGTGTGCATATCCTTGCCTAACTCTCTGTTGGTCTTCAGCGTTCCTAAGAGTTGTTCATCATATGAGTCTATTTTCTTATTAATTTCGTCAAATTCACCACTTATTACTTTCCATACCTTATTTTCTTGCACTAGTTCCTTGATTTGTCGCTCTTGTGTCTTTACCTTGTATG